AGTTCCTGCCAAATGGGCCTGGCCACATGGCTGCTGGGGCTTCCTCACAGCCTGGCAACTGAGCTCCATGAGCAAGTATTCCAAGAAGTTTGGGCAGTAGTCACAAGGGTTTTGTTTTTGTTTTTTTTTAATTAAAGATTTTATTTATTTATTCATGAGAGACAGGGAGAGAGACAGAGATATAGGCAGAAGGAGAAGCAGGCTCCCTGAGGGGAGCTGGATGCAGGACTTGATCCCAGGACCCCGGGATCACAACCTGAGCTGAAGGTAGGCACTCAACCACTAGGCCACCCAGGTGCCCCAGCCACAAGACTTTTTCATGATCTTCTCTTAGTACTGTTTCTTTGGAACCATCCTGGGTTAAGATAAATGTGGGATGTCACCTTTGTTATAGGCAACATTGTTTATCATGAAAAAGACCCCTGATCTGGACTACGTGAGCTGTGAATGGACATGTAGATCCAGAGGGTCTGGATCTGTTAGGAAAAAAAATGGCTTCAGGGATGCCTGGGTGGCTCAGTGGTTAAATGTGTGCCTTCAGCTCGGGGTGTGATCCTGGGGTCTGGGATCAAGTCCCACATCGGGCTCCTTGAGGGAGCCTGCTTCTCCTTTTGCCTGTCTCTCTGCCTGTGTCTCTCATGAATAAATAAAATATTTTTTAAAAAAAGAAAAAAATGGCTTCAGAAATAAGTTTTTGTTTTCCTGAATGACGTTTCTTGTTTCTGAGTATGATACTTATGTACTTTGGAAGCTACCCTTGTGGGCTGATACATGCTAATAGTTCCTGTTGTAAATGAGGATGTGCAGGTGAGATTGTTCACACTTCCAACCACAGGACTTACCCCTTTCAGCTGAGCTGCCTGTTTTGGAGTCTAGAAAGCACCATCTAGATAGTTGGAAGGCTTCCCGACAAAGATGTGTCTGATGCTGTCATGAAGCCATGGTGGGTTTCCGTCTTATGTCTTTTTAACTCTACTCTGCCAACTTGCAGCCCATCATGCCTTGTGTGTGTGAACATCAACCTGAACTGAAGAAATCTGCTGCTCGTCATAGATAGTGGTTATAAATAGAAAACAGGCATAGAACAGGGAAACGCAGTGTAGCTCCCAAAACATACAAGTGTTAGGCTCAGAAACAAGAAACTCCATCCAGGAAAACCAAGGCTTATATCTTAAACTATTCTTTGTTGTCTTGCCCTGAAAGTAGATACCCTGTCTGCATCTATGTGTCCATTTGTTACCTGAAACTGGATTCACCTGTTGGCCTCTTGATGCTGCTGAACCAAAAGACACAACTAGGCTAAAGGATAGGAAAAGAAAAGGTTTTATTTGTGACAAGTAAAGGAGAACACCGGGGATCTTTCCCAAAGTAGAGTCTCCCTGAACAAAATTGGGGAAGTTTTACGCTAAGAGTGTATCCATATTCACGAAGGGGCTTGCACAATGGGGAATACAGCATGGAATTGGGGCAAAAATCATCTTGAAATGATTGAGTCCAGGTCAAGTTCACCAGAATTGGCAAGGGTAAGCATCATCAATTCTGGCTCCTTTTAGTCCAGTATCTGCGAGCTCAAAGGAGTTTAGCAGCAAAGATAACTAATTAGTGTGCATAAGGCTGTCTTCCCTTATGAATGAACACTAGGAGTCTTAACAGTGATTCATTGTTCTGATACATTAGTCAACCTCCTGGCTCTTTGTTCTTCATTCTTTCACAAGATAGGGGGTAGGGGCAGCTAAAATAACTTTCCTTATATCAAGAAAGCTATGTCTGTCTTTCTTTTTCTAAGGATCCCTAACTCTTTCTGGTCACACATTCACAGTTTTTTTTTTTTTTTAGTCCAGATCAAGCGTCCTCTTAATGACAATGTTGTCTGATAACATAGTTGACACTCCACATTTATCTTAACCCGGGATGGTTCCAAAGAAACTGTGTGGAGAGATTCCCTGAGGTCAGCCTCCCACGGAGAGGCGGCTAAAACTTATCCTGAACCTTTTTTCTGCTCACTGCCCCCCACCATCAACTTGGATGAACAAGTTTAACATAGACCACCAGGACCTTGCTATCCAGAGGCATCAATGGCTTTTCACCTCCTCAAGGATTGGTGTGCTTTTTTTTATCATTTAGGTTTTCTGCATGTTTGTTTAGATTTTATTTATTTTGTTCAGATTTTATTTATTTGACACAGAGAGACATTGAGAGAGCACAAGCAGGGATAGTGACAGGCAGAGAGAGAGGGAGAAGCAGGCTCTCCAGCGAGCAACGAGCCCCTTGCGGGTCTGGATCCCAGGACCCTGGGATCATGACCTGGGCCAAAGGCAGATGCTTAACGGACTGAGCCACCGAGGTGCCCCCGGTCACTTAGTTTTTTTTTAATATGGGTTATAACATCATCCAATCATGGGACCAAGGGCGGATTTCAAGTGCACCAAGCATAATAATATACTGCATTTACACTGTCGCTCAAAGGGTGCGCAGCTCACTCCCGGCACCTCCCAGCCAGCATCCCCAGCTGCCCTCCCGCCTGGTAGGAGGAGCCTGAGAGGGCCGCGTGGAACAGCCCTGCAGTGCGCAGGCGCCTCCCAGTAGAGCTCGCACATGCGCACTGCTGCTGCGGCGGAGGGGTCGCCATGTTTCCGCCGAGGGGGCCTACTGGGGGGTCACCACGGGCCTCCTGGAACCTGGGACGCTGCTGAGTTCGGTGGCTAGGACTAACCTTGCTTGGGGCTGCGCTCCCCCTTCACAGCCCCTTTTGGGAGCCCGGGACTCCCATCAGGTCTCCGCCACCTTTTGGGCGTCAGGCAGCCCAAGTTCCGCGTTTCTGGAGTGGAGTCCGGAGAGTCGTGACCCGCGTGGCCGCACCTGGGCAGGTTACACAGGTGCATCTTCCACGGGGCGGAAATCCGCGTGCCTCCCTTTATCTAGACCGAGATCTCAGGTCTCACACATGGGGTTCGTACCCCCATGCCCGTGTCTGCTCCGCCCAGGCCCTGGCGTCCCTCAGGCGGTAGCCCGTGCGTTGGAAGAGCCAGCACCTCTGGCTGGCAGAGGCCCATCTGCTGCAGCTGCACGGACACCTGCGGGATGCCCGCCAGCCTAGCTGCTGCTGGATTTTAGTTGCTGGCTTTTCAAGACTGATAAGGAACGTAGATAAGCAAGCGGAGGTGCTTGCCCTCCTCAAAGGAAGGTCAGGTGAGAGACAGATACGTGTCTGTGTAGGAGGTAAAATGCACCCTGAACGGAAAGAAGCAGCTTTAAATATTTGCAAAGCCCATGGGGTGTCAGTGCTAGAGGACCAGGATGGTTCTGGTGGAGGAGGAACTTCACTGCCCCTGCCTTGGAACTCCCTAGGCTTTACTGTCATCCCTCCCAAAGTGCCTTCAGCGGCAGGTTCAGAAACTAAGGAAGATTCATAAAAGGGTGTGACAGAGCAAAAAGTAAAAGGTGCCAACATTCCTTCCTCAGGTTCAGGCTTCTACTTTTCCTGCTGGCCAGAGCTAGGAGGGATAGTGAAATGTAGCTTGTGGTCAGGATGGTTGTTTTCACTTTTACATATGCTTCTGGACATTTTACTTTTACTTTGTTTTTTAACCATTTTTTTTTATTTTAAGAGAGAAAGCCTGTGGGGGTTGGTTGTTAGGGGGTGGGTAGGGGCAGAGGGAAGGGAGGATCCAAGCAGGTTCCACACCCCAGTGCAGAGCCCAACAGGGGGCTTGATCTCATGACCCTGAGAACCTAACCTGAATGGAAAGCAAGAGTCGGCTGCTTAACCAGCGGAGCCACCCAGGAGTCCCTGGCCATTTTAAATTGGTCAGAGGAGGATATTTATTAATATTTTATTAAAGAAAAGTGACCAGGAGATTTCCAGGGATTTTTTTTTTCCAGGGACAGGGGAACACCTAGCATTGCAAGGGGAAACAAAATGTAAAAAGAGGTGTGAAGACAAAAGCTACTTTGTAATTATATTCCATGAGTCATGCTTTGTTCATTAAAATGATCCCATTTGAATTCTCATTCAGCTTTATTGAGGGATGATTGACAAATGTTCATTTGGTATGTTTTAAAGTATTCAATGGCATGATTTTATACACGTATACATTGTGGGATTATTACTGAGATCTAGATAATGAACACATTAGTCACCTTACAAAATTTAACTTTTTTGTGTGTTGTTGATGTGGGAAACAAAGGCAGAAGAGAAATTATTGAATTTCCTTACTGCCTACAGCCCCTGACAAGTCCTTGAAACAGGCAGCTACCTTCCTCCAGGGACTCAGCTGCCTTGATGTTGACACTATGCTAAGGGCAAAAGGCAGTCTTAGCCTGACACTCCCCAGGATCCTGTGAGTCTCATTTAAACATATAGAAATTCCTTTGGAGGGATCCCTGGATGGCGCAGCGGTTTGGCGCCTGCCTTTGGCCCAGGGCGGGATCCTGGAGACCCGGGATCGAATCCCACATCGGGCTCCCGGTGCATGGAGCCTGCTTCTCCCTCTGCCTGTGTCTCTGCCTCTCTCTATCTGTGTGTGTGTGTGTGTGTGTGTGCGTGTGACTATCATAAATAAATAAATAAAACCTAACTTTAAAAAAAAAAAAAGAAATTCCTTTGGAAACTTCCTTTGTCTCTGTCCCACACCCCCCACCAAGATGTATATTGGCACTTATACTCCAAGCATTGGCCAACTGTATACATCTGGAGGGTCTCATGACTGAGTTTTTACTAAACATTAATAAATGACCTTTTCCTAACAATAGCCAGCCTCCTCAGGGTCCTGGAAACCTTGTTTGCAAAATGCCTGGGAGGTTTGTGCTGTGGGTAACCCCCTTCCAACTTGAAAGTATATAATCAGTCACCCGTCACAACCCAGTGCAGCTCTTTCTGCCCACAGGTCCTGTCCCCGTGCTTTAATTAAACCACCTTTTATGCACTGAAGATGACTCAAGAATTCTTTGTTGGCCTTTAGCTCTGAACCCCAACACTTTCTACATCATTGTTAGCTTTAAAAATAGACATGGCCAGTTATTTTATCAGCAGAAGATGGATGTATTGGGAGAATAAAAGAGAACTGCAATCCCGTACAAACAAGCAGTGGTCAGACTACAGGCATCTGGAATTCCAAGTGTGGTGGTTTCTCTCTGGAGGAGCTGTTGCCTGGAGGGATGAGGAAAGCAGCTTCCTTCTGCTGGTAACTGGTATCCACGTGCAAGATAAAGTTCATGCAAGGTCAGGTTTCTCTCTTCCTGTTGGGTGTGCAATTGACTGTGAATGGTGGGACGTGAGAACTCCTCCTGCCCAGACCTCCCCACTTCATTTAATTAAATTAAATTAATTTATTTATTTAAATTTTATTTATTTATTCATGAGAGACACGCACACAGAGAGATAGAGAGAGAGAGAGAGAGAGGCACACAGGCAGAGGAAGGAGCAGGCTCCATCCAGGGAGCCTGACATGGGACTTGATCCCGGGTTTCCAGGATCACACCCTGGGCTGAAGGAGGCACTAAACCGCTGAGCCGCCTGGCCTGCCCTCCCCACTTCATTTTAATGAGATTTGCCATTACTAATTTTCACAATATATATTTATAGTGGGATGATTACTAAGGTAACATTCATCACCTCACACAAGACCTTTGTGTGTGTGTGTTTTCAGACTGCTTAAGATCTCATAGCAACTTTTAAGTATATAATACCGTATATATTATTAACTGTCGTCACTGTACTGTATGTGAGAGCCTCAGAACTTATTCTTTTTTTTTTTTTTTTTTTAAGATTTCATTGATTTGAGAGAGGGCATTAGTGGGGCAAGGGGCAGAGGGAGAGGATGAGGCTCGATCCCTGGACCCAAAGATTATGACCTGAGCTGAAGCCAGACGCTTAACCAATTGAGCCACCCAGGTGTCCCTCAGAACTTTTTTTTTTTAAGATTTTATTTATTCATGAGAGACAGAGAGACAGAGACACAGGCAGAGGGAGGAGCAGGCTCCATGCAGGGAGCCTGATGTGGGACTCGATCCTGGGACTCCAGGATCATGCCCTGGGCCAAAGGCAGGTGCTAAACCACTGAGCCATACAGGGATCCCCCCCTCTCAGAAGTTATATTAGAAAAGTGTGTGGTTTTGACCTCAATCTTCATTTCTGCCTCCTCCCAGCCCATGGCACCCACCATTCTATCTCTGCTTTGTTTCTGTGAAATCAGCTTTTTGTTGTTGTATATTCTACGTATAAGTGATATTCTACGCTATTTGTTTTTCTCTGCTTGGCTTCTTTCATTTAGCATAATGCCTTCCTGGTTCATTGATGTTGTCACAAATGGCAAGATTTCCTCTTTCATGGTTGAATGGTAGTACGTTGTATTTATGATGTATACCACATTTTCTTTATCTGTTCATCTGTCAATGGGCTTTTAGGTTGTTGGATATGGATATCTTGGCCACTGAATAATGCCACAGCAAACGTGGGTGGGCAGCTGTCTCAAGATAGTGATTTTATCTCATTTTGTAGGTAATTGAAGTTAGAAATAAAAATATCAGTTATTTTACCTGCGCCCTCACCACCCATTTTTTTTTCGGGAACAGAGAATTGGAATCTGACACACGTGAGCCCTGGCAAAACCACAGGCAAGTCCAGAAAACAAAGGGGAGACTCATCCTTTACAGAGGAAAGTGGGGAGGTGGGAGAGACTGTTATATAGGAGAGGCCCATTGGAGTAAACTGGGGGTTCTCAGTTCAGAGGCTTCTCATTGACTGCACTGTGACAGTCTCACTGGCTGGGTTCTTGCCAGGACAGAGTCTTCCTCTTGCTGGGGTAGTCAAGTAGGCTTCTCCCAGTTAGTTCTGTGAAGGGTTGTGTGTGGTATAACATGAAAGTTTCCCCTTCTGGGCTCCTGACTCCATTTTTTTTAAAAAAAGATTTTTTTTTTTTAGTTATTTGAAAGAGGGGGAGAGAGCACAGTGGGGGAGGAGCAGAGGAAGAGGGAGAAGCAGACTCCCTGCTGAGCAGGATGCCCAACATGGTTGATCCCAGGACCCTGAGATCATGACCTGAGCCGAAGGCAGATAATCAACTGACTGAGTCACCCAGGCGCCCCTCCTGACTCCATTTTTTGTTTTTAAGATTTTATTTATTTATTTGTGATAGACATAGAAAGAGAGGCAGAGACACAGGCAGAGGGAGAAGCAGGCTCCATGCAGGGAGCCCAACGTAGGACTTGATCCTGGGTCTCCAGGATCAAGCCCTGGGCTGAAGGCAGGCGCTAAACCACTGAGCCACCCAGGCTGCCCTCCTGACTCCATTTTAAGTGAGGTTGACTTTATTCAGTTTCAGAGGGGATTAAGACAGTAAGAAAATGAAAAGAGAAGTCTTGATTTTATAAATTCATGCAACATGAAGCCACCAGATCTTCTAGAAACAGCTTTCTAAATTTCACAGGTCTTTGGTTGATTTCTGTTCTTTTTTTTGTTTTGTTTTGTTTTTTTGTTCTTTTTTTTTAATTTATTTTTTCCATTTAAGATACACATGCAGAATTTTCTAGAAAAGGGTTTTCATCTCATCCTTATATTAATACTAATACCCTAAAACTCAAATCCCAAGCATCTTCCTTACGATGCCTCAGCAGCTCAGGAAGATGGTATCATCCCTGTTTTACAGATGAGGGACTGAGGCACAAGGCAATGTAGGTCGTGAAGGAGTCTCTGAGTGTCCCAAGATGGGCAGCACAGGGCCAGCCCACAATCAGCTTCTCTGTTTTCCTACCTACCCTGCGGGGGGGGGGGGGGGGGGGAGGAAGCTAGTGGTGTAGGTTGGGGTGTCTGCTGGCATGTGGAAAACATCATCACATTTTCATAAGGAGCTCATCTAGAAAGGTTTCCTTCAGCCACAGAGAAAGAAAAATTAGGAAATTATGAGACACTGACAAGGAAAAGAATGGAAAGATTCCAGAAATGGGCAGAGAGTGAACAACAGGACAGGGCTGGGGCAGGAGAGGCAGTGTGGTTGACTCAGTAATTAGAGTGTGTGGCTCTTGATCTCGGGGTAAGGAGTTCAAGCTCCACACTGGGTGTAGAGATTGCATAAATAAACTTAAAAAATTAAACAGCAGAACAAGGCATCCTCTTATGACCTTCTGTGTCCCTCATCCCTCCTTCCTTCCCTCAGTCATAAGCAGTTAGGGGCCTTTACCTGGGGCAGTTCGTGGAGATAGGGGACGAGAAGCATTGGGACTTGTCACCCAGTACCTTCAACTTCACGACAAACTTCTGGGAGCCGAAGGAGTCAGGACAGCAGAGCTCCATGCAGGGCCAGAAGGTGCAGTTGGGGCCACAGAGACGAGTCCGGTTCAGAGGCAGGACGGTGTCATAGTCACAGCACTGCTCCAGGGGGTTGTAGATCTGATCCCCACACCGGGGAGCAGGCTGGCACAGCCACAGCCCTGAGCCCACGGGGGCATCTGGTGGAGACACTGATGATGTGAGTCCAAGGAGGAACAGATACCCACTTTCCAAGGGCAGCCTCCTCCCTCCTCATTCTTTGTCCTTACCTGTTACTACTTGTGAACACTGGAGGAAGAAGAGTGCTATGCAGACAGGAACTGTGGGAGAAAGAAAAGGGGGCTCTTGCACAGTTCCCAAACCGAATTGCAACATGTGGGGGGCTTCCTGCACACACAACACCAAACAAATTCCAAGGTATCAGCAATGTCTGCTAATTCAACTCCATTCTGACACTGTCTGTGCAGAGATAGAATCAGATTCTAACAGGTTAAGGGCTCAGTCCTACAAAACCATACCCCATAGCACCCCGCAGATGCTAGTTACAAGCCCCAGGCCAGTACCTCTGTTTCTGACCCATCGGCTACAGATTGGAGATTCCAGCAACCTTCTCCTTAGGTTCTTTCAGTTTACTAGAGTGGCTCACAAAACTCAAGGGAACATCTACCTACATTTACTGGTTTATTAAGGGATGTGATAAAGGATAGGAATCAATAGCCAAATGAAAAGATACATAGGGTGAGGTCTGGGGAGGGGTTGTGGACCATCCATCCCCCTCCAGATGCGCCACCCTCGTCAGAGCCCATGGATTCACCAATCTCCAAACCCAACCCCTTTGGGTTTTCATGGGACTTCATTGAAAAATCATGATTGACAAAGTCATTGGCTGTTGGCCGATTCAGTGTCTAGCTCCTCTCCCCTCTCAGGAGCTAGGGAAGGTGGGAATAAAAGTTCCACCCCTTCATGCACAGGGTTGGTCCTCCTGGCTACCAGCTCCCATGCTTGGGTGGGGTCCAAAAGTCACCTTCATTAATAAGGCACCCATCTCACCTTTATGGCTCTGAATCATTTTCAGGAATGCTGAAGACCAGATATACCATGGGAGATAGATTTTGGTTATCTCAATGACCAAATAAATATTTCTTATGAATCATATTGCAAGGTGGAACATGGGGTGGAGAAAGTGGTCAAGGGGTCCTCAGGGAAGGCAGATGAGTATGGAAGAAGCCCCAGGTTAGGGGGATTTAAAGGTGTGGATTTTGGTTTCCTCAGCCAGGCCCTGTGTAGCTGCAGCCTGCCAGGCAAGGGGCATTCAGGGAAGACTGAGTCCTCAGCCTTGGCTCCCAGACAGAAGGTTTCTGGATTATCTAAGAATGGAGTGGTGAGGCAAGATGAGGTGAGATGCTCCTGAGGCGACCAGGGGTGGGGAGGAGATGGGAATGATGTTGAGATTTGGGAGCTGCACTGGGGATGGGGTGAGATGATGCTAGCATTCGGGGTCCTCCTTACCTAAGATGGAGCTTCGTGGTGTCATCGCTTCTGAAGAGGCTCTAGGACAGCAAAGGAGAGAGCGATCAAGTCTGGAATTTCTGTAGGCAGCTGCCCCAACCTTTTGTCACCAGTTTCTGATTGGGCATTCAGATCAGGCCACCCTTCAGCTAGCTCTTCAGATTCTTCAGGAATCACTAGCACATAGTTTCTCTAGGAGGGGACTGGCTGGTCTGCTCAGGAGGTGTGAGCTCCTGAAAGCAAAGTGTTCCTAACTGACTCATTGCTGCTTCCTGGTCTACTCGAGGCTTCCTGTGGCTGCAGCTTGGCCCTAACCCAGCTTGAGGTGCTCAAGAGTTTCCACCTGGGCACTGAATGGAGTGAAGACTCCCTCATAACAACACTCATTCCACATTCCCAGGCTCAGCCCCTTTCCCAGCTCGGGCCCGGTGACATACACATCTTGGTTCCCACTCCAAAACTAATTCTCTAAATTAAAAAAGTTTTTAAATTTTTTAATTTAAATTCAATTAATTAACATATAGTGTAATTATAATTGCAGAGAGAGAGGTCAGTGATTCATTAATCTTATGTAACACCCAGTGCTCATTACACAGTGTGTCCTCCGTAATGCCCATCACCCAGTTACCCCATCCTGCCACCCCTCTTCCCCTCCAGCAACCCTTAGCTTGTCTCCTATCATAAAGAGTCTCCTTATGGTTTGTTTCCCTCTCTGATTCCATCTTGTTTCATTTTTTCCTCTCTTCCCCTATGATCCTCTGTTTTGTTTCTTAAATTCCACATGAGTGAAATCATATGATATTTGTCTTTTTCTGATTGCCTTATTTTCCTTAGCATAATACATCTAGTTCCATCCACATCAATGCAAATGGCAAGATTTCTTTTTTTATGGATGAGTAGTATTCCATTGTATATATACCACATCTTTATCCATTCATCTGTCGATGGACATCTAGGCTCTTTTCAGTTTGGCTTGTGGACATTGCTGCTATGAACATTGGGGTGCAGGTGCCCCTTCAGATCAGATCACTATTTTAAAGATTTTATTTATTTATTCATGAGAGAGAGAGACAGAGAGAGAGAGAGAGAGAGGCAGGCAGAGACACAGGCAGAGGGAGAAGCAGGCTCCATGCAAGGAGCCCGATGTGGGACTCGATCCCAGGATTCCATGATCACACCCTGGGCCAAAGGCAGGTGCTAAACCACTGAGCCACCTAGGGATCCCCTGTATCTAAATGTTTTAAGTTTATTTTTTTAGTGATCTCTACACCCAGTGTGGGGCTTGAACCCATGACCCCGGAGATCAAGAGTCTCACACTCTTCTGCTCTTCCACCTGGGCCAGCCATGAGTACCCTAATCCTCTAAATTTTAAGGTCAGTCATGTGCATAACTAATGTGTCAGCTCAGCCCCCTTTCTGGGCTGACTGCATCCAAGCTGCCTCAGACTTCTCCTGTTCCTCCTCCCCAGGAAATCACCACATTCCCTAGAATCCTAAACCCGTTTCCCCCAAGAGTGCTGTGCGTACTATCTCTCTAGCCAGAGGACTTGATTCCATCCTGGGTCCTCTCTTAACCTTTCCTTGACCCTTCCCTCCCTCAGGGTGGGCTCCTTGAGGGAGACCTCTGGCTGCCCTGTCAGCCCTACCTCCTCCCCTCTCTTCTCCCACTGGCTCTCTCATTTGCTGTCTGCATTCTCATTCACCTCTGCTCACGTGGAGCCCCATATGAGTCCAGAGGGGACTAGGTGGGCTGTAGCTCCCAGAGAACTCCAGGCTGGGGCCCTACTGTCCTGCTGCTTGGGCCACAGCAGCTCTGTCTCCTCCATTGTCCCTGATGAGCGCTCACCTCATGTTGTGCTAGCCACACATGAGATGTGGGGACAAATTCTGACTCCCTGTGGCACCATCTAAACTTCATCCCCGGTCTATTTCAAGCAATGCTGCCCCAGCCTTAGGTTTCCAGAATTACTTTATTTTTAAAAAAAAATTTTTAAAGGTTTTATTTATTTATGAAAGAGAGAGGCAGAGACACAGGCGAGGAAGAAGCAGGCTCCATGCAAAGAACCTGATGTGGGACTTGATCCTGGGACTCCAGAATCACACCCTGAGCCAAAGGCAGACACTCAACCACTGAGCCACCCAGGCATCCCCCAGAATTACTTTAAAGTTAAGATGAAGGTTGCTCACTGTCCCCTTCCCCAATGGGACAGATGAGCTTGTGCTTAGAGTGCAAATGAGGAAAGATTCTTGGGAGATCTCTTTTAAGTGGAGACACCCTCCTCAGTCTGGATTTGCCCAAGGAGGAGCAGCCTTGGCTGGAGAGGGGGGTGGGATGCTGCTTAGGTATTGTGGAGGACATGACAACTGAATCCCTCTTGCTTCCCTATGGCCAGTGTCACAGAGGCCACAATCTGTAGCTGATCTGGAGGTACTTCCCTCTCAGAGTGGGTGGTCTTCGTCTCTTCCATTATCCTCCTCGGATTCAATTCTCCACAGGGTATAGGTTAGATGTTAATACTATCATTATGCATGTGTTGAGAAGGAAAACCTGCCTGCAGTGTTCTAGACACCAGAACCCACGAGTCAGACAATTGTGTCTGCATGCGCATGCATTTCTAGTGTGGGTACCTTGAATTGCCTGGAGCCAACTGAATAAAAATTCCTATCCCAGTCTTGAGGTTCCAGGATCTATGCCCACCTCACTGATGATGTGAGGAAGGAACACATCCCTTAGCATAAGGTGAGCCCGAGACTCCAGGAGAATGGGACCAGAGCTACCCTTGGTGGGCATTGGGTGCAGTGCAGGGCTGCCTTGAGCATGGACCAGTAAGGAGCAGCTGCCTTCGGAGAAACTGATATGTGTCTGGGTCCTGATGGTAAACGTTAGGCCCATTCATAAAAACACGAGCTGTCAGGTATCTAGAGTGTGCCAAAGGGTTTAGTATCTTTTTAATTTTAATCCTCAAAATCCTGGAAAGAGAGGCTATTATTAACTTCATTTTACAGAGGAGGAAAAGGAGGTAAAGATGCATGCCTACTGTTATGTAGGTGATAGGGGCATAGTCAAAGAGACTAACCAGGCCTGGCTACTCTGAAGACAGGTACCCCATCCTCTTCACTCTGGAGTGTCACTATCCCTCAGCCTGCTCTTCCAGCTCGTCTAGGCCCCTTAATTACTCATCACTCACCTGGGAACAAACAGTGCCTCCCTTCTCTCCCCAATAAGGCAGGCAGTGGGATCTTCTGAAGTACCAATATGAACCAGTTCCTCTCCTGCTTATACCTGTCCGGGATCCCCAGGACCTTAGTCTGGCATTCAGACCCCTCACTGTAGCCTCTAGGCTCTTTGTCATCTGATGTTTGCTGATCTGTCTCTTCTCTGATGGTTTCCACTCGTGCTATACTTACTCTTTTTCTTCTAAGATTTCTCCAAAGCCGGCCTCTCTGCCACTTCAATTTACCATTAAATTTTCATTATGGATTCCAACAATACCTTGCACTTGGCTGGATTAATACCTATCCACTGTCCACTCTTTCTATGTCCTGCCCTGTGCTGGGGCTCAGCAGGGCCCAGGACATCCTTGGTCCTGTCCTTCTGGGGCTCACAGTACATGGGGAAGACAGACTCATCCCAAGACAGTGACAGCCCTGGATGGGTGCCATGAGGGAGTCCAGAGGGTCAGGAAAGACTTCTAGAAGAGGCATGGGATTAGCATAAGCAAAGATGTGGGGGTAGAGTAAAGGGGACTTCGGAGATAGACCTCAAAGGTGTTGCACCAGGTCAGACATTACCCATGGGCTGAACACTCAGTGAGGTTCCAGGGCATGTGGTGGGTACATGGCCTATGTCCAGGCCTGCCAGCTCCAGTCCCCACTGAAACAGAGTTGACACACCACTGGGAGAGAACGCCAAAAACAAATAAATGAAGCAAAAGCAAGCCAATGATTTAAAAAATCGGATTGTAATAGGAGCTAAATGTTGTGCCCAAGATTGCGAATACGAGAAACCACCGAGGAGCCGACACCGATGCAAACACACGAGGGTTTATTTACAAGCTCGAGCTTGGGTCCAAGTATACCCGACACAGCGGAACAGGGACTTGGACCCTGAAGTGGGTTACAGCTGTTTTTTTTTTTTTTTTATAGGCTGGTCTAGGGGATTTTCAGAAGGGGTGGAGGAATTTCTCAAGTTCTTTTTACATTCTGATGTGGGGCTTTCAAGGGCATTGAGCTCTGTTCTCATTCTAATATGGGACTTTATAACACAGGTGTGGGCTCTGTTGTCTTTCTGATATGCGATTACCTGCCAAGGACATTGAGGACATTCTGCAGTTTTTTCTATAAAGTTCAGCTCTTATTCACAGGGGCCTAAGATGGCTGTACTTGTGCTAATGCTAAACTTGAGGTGGGATGGCCTTGATTTTTCTCGGTCTCTACACTAAGAAGTCACATGAGTGTGGAAAAAGAGCAAGGAGGGGAGACCTAGGAAGCTAATGTGGTGGAGGAAGACATGGACGAGAGAGATCTGAAGAAGCCAGCCATGAAAAGGGAGTTCCAGGCAGGGGGAATGGGAACAGCAAGTGCAGAATCCCAAAGTCTGGTTTGGCCATGCTGGGATGGCAGCAGGCCAGGGAGCCTGGAGCTAAGGGAGCAAGGGGAGGGGGCAGAGGGGCCACATAGGCCATGGGAAGGAGTAATAATCATTATTGAAGTTTGAGTACTTATACTCCTGGCCTTGCCCAGAGCATTTTATATGCATTACTTTATTGGATGCTCACAGCCACTAGAAGGGCAGTACTATTTTGCCTGCATTTGAAAGAGGAGGTCACAGAGACTCAGGTGGGGTTAAGTAATTTGCCCAAGGTCTCACAGTCATGACATGAAAAAGCTGGGATTTATACTAAGACTTTAGCACCCCACCCCTTGGTTACAATATCCTCAAACCTCAGGAAGCTTATTGCCTGTTGTTTGTTCACTGTGGTGTCCCCAACACCTAGAAGAGGGCCTGGTTCACTGCTCAGGACA